AGAGAGAGAGAGAGAGAGAGAGAGAGAGAGAGAGAGAGAGAGAGAGAGAGAGAGAGAGAGAGAGAGAGAGAGAGAGAGAGAGAGAGATGAAATGGCCTGCACAGAATCACTCTGAGATATACGCTGTTTTCTGAGTATTGCCGCTTGCTGGTCTGATATGTTGAGATTTCCATGTTCACTAGGAGTTTGCTGCTTGCTTACATGTGTGTAAGTCCCTTCGTGATGATTGATATGCAGAGTGCTAACTGTGTGCTTGTCCTGTGTTTTCTCTGTCCCAGAGGGTTAGATTAGGAATAAGGGAGGGACAAGACTGAGATTAGGGATGACACGGACTTCTAGAAAGACAGGGACGAGCAGGGACATAAGTAGCATTGAGGTAGTACCCGGCAAGGATTTTCCAGCGACTCGGGTAGGCCCGACAGTAGTCTGATAGGCCTAGAAGGACCCCGTAGCTTCCAAAAAGGCGTAAGTAGTCAGGGGCCAAACCTAGATATCAAGTAGGTTAGGCCATGAAGTAGACTTGTAGGCTGCAATGATGTTCCCATCGAAACGAAGGAACCATCAGTAGGCTTCGTACCCCACGGAGGAGTAGTAGGAGGGAGCAGGCCTTAGCCACGAGGTGGAGGGTGAAGCCCGCCATGCCAGGCTATGGAGAAGGGTGAAAGAAGAGATAAGAGGTTGAGGAAGGGAAGTGAGGGAGGAAACAACATGAGAGACTCACCTGTGGCCATAGTCGACCTTTATCTTCACTTCCTTGGTTGGCACTGCATCTAGAAAGCCCTTGTGTGGGTTCCAGTTGGTCTTGGACCTCAACCGAGAGCATGGCTATGATGGAAAGAGATGGGAGAGGCATAGTAGAGATTGCGTTGTCCTTTGAGCATCCGTGATGAACATGGATGTTCCATCATGGTGCTAGTTGCAACCAAGCAGAGAGCAGTGAGGTTATGGCCGAGAGGAGGGCTCTTGGAGTGCTGGCAATAAGGGGGACTACTCAGACATGATTTCTAATCATTCATTCTGCAAGGAATATGAGCGAGACTCTGCGAGAGCGATAGACAGAAAACCAAATTGCAACATCACGCTGACGACCAGATAGTCGCCTACCAAGCAGAAAGCACAATGCACCGAGATACAAGCCAAATAAGAGCAACACAATGAACTCAAATCTCAATGTCAACACTCTCTCGCCACACCAACATAGTATCCAACGTCGAACTTTTTGATTGGCGCTCAGTGCCCAGCCCATCCTACTCAGCTACTATCTAGCCTACCACTACGTGGATGCAACAGGAGTCACTTCAAGCTGAGGACCAATGTTCGAGACGACCTCGTCAATGCGGACTGCCAGCATACACCAGGTATGTGTCTCATTTCCCCTCGGCCTCATCCCTGTCTCCCCGAAGTGTGCATCCCCGACACCCGAAGACCATCATCACCATCACCAGCATGTGCCCATGCAGCCCGTCTATGGCCGCCATGCGCCTGCTGCCACCGCAACACCCCTCTCACCCCATGGCCCGCGTGCGCTTCTGGCCAACGCCCAGGCAGCAGCCAGCGCCTCCATGCAGCAGCGTGGCCGCCTGCTTGCGCAATGCCAGAATGTGCCCTTTGCTGGGCACAATACTTTCCTTAATGGAGAGTGAGCCCAGCCTCTGGCTGGCCTGCGCCTTGTGGGCGTGTGCCCAGTAGCTACACGTTGCACCAAACTGTCTGCGCCCAGGCCCATTCAGACAGTGGCCTGGGCCCACAGCAGTTAAGCTGCCCAACTGTGCGACGTGGCCGCTGTCACTCGCTGCTTTCTCATTGGCCGTCGGGTCTCCAGCCACGTTGCTGCCCGCTCTCTAATTGGCCGAGAGCCTCTTGCAAGGAAGATGAGCAATAGCGAACTTCACCAATCAAACAATATCATAAATACGAGTCCAGATAGTCGTGACCTCGAACCAACAGCAGAATTGCATCACGAGATTCACCAAATAAGAACACACCAAGAGTTCATAATTGACAATGCTGAAATAGTCCCATCATGATCAACGAAGAACCAAAGTTAATATCCTATCTGGCGCTCGGCACCCAGACTACATGTGGCAGATCCTATCTAGCCTATACTACAATGCCAAAGTTGACGACAACATCTCTCCCGAAGTACGAGCAGACAGCGACCAATGTCGCACGCTTCCAGCACCAGGTATGTCTCTCGTCTTACTCACAACCTTGTTCCCCAACACACAGATGCCACTTGCACCCAAGGACCACCCTGCGCCACACCCAGCTTTCAGCAGCGCAGCTCGGCTATGGCTGCCTGCTCCTTCCCTGCTCGCCCGTGAGTGCATAGGCGCTAGCCAGCAAATAGCACAGCAGCAGTGCTTGCGCAGCATGCAGCCAGCACCCGAATGGCGAATGCGGAGGCAGGCCCTTCGCTATATCGAAGTGCCTGCGTCCAGTCCCAGGAAGCTTCCAGTAGGCCCCAGTAGCCTGAGGCCCAGCACGAATGAGAACAGGCCTTGGGCCTGAGGTGGTTGCATGCGCCAAACTGCCTTTGGCCTGTGTTCGGCCCAGGGCCTGGGTTCTCTCAACCAACTGGCGCTGCGCAACTGCCTAAATTTCCTTGAGTTGCGTGGTGACCAAAACAGGGCCCTGAGGGCCTCGTCGAGCCTGCCTTCACTTAGGGCGGCCGACTTGCTTCAGAATGGGCCATAAGGGGCTCATAGAGGCATTGGCCTCGCATTCCCTCCCTAGCTTCAACAGTCCTCTGAGAAGCTCAATCTTCAATCATTGGGCGCTTTCCCTTCTGCAAAGATCTCTCGTATGGGCCACAACTTGAGGAGCGGTCTGCATGAGTTCCTCCCTGGTGAACCTGGTGAACCAGTGGTCCTCCTTCGGATCAGTGTGATGCCGGAACCGAACGCGGTACTGCAGCTTCGGTTTCGGAGGACGTCCCCTGCCTGTTGGTCTTGCCACTGGCATCTCCCTGTGGTCCACGATATCATCCATATCCACCTCTCCGTCCATGGTTGGGGGCAGCATTGAGCGGCGAGATGGAAACTGATCTGTTTCTTTGAACGGTGCAAGCTTGGAGGCGTGAAAGACAGGGTAAGTACGAAGATGCCCAGGGATCCGGACTACGTAAGAAGGTCCATCCAGATCAGTCCCAACAATATCTAAGACTTCCCATGGTCCAAAGTACTGTGGCAKGAGCTTGCGGGAAAYCCCGTGCTCCTGTCCCAGTTCTGAGGACTTAACCYAGACTYTGTCCCCAACYTGAAATGAAGACTCACGGCGGTGTTTGTTTGCAGATTCTATCATAGTCGCCTGTGCCTTTTGCATCTGTTCTACAGCCTGCTGCATCTTCTGTTCATAACGGTAAGCAAATTCTAAAGTACCTGGTGCAGCAGTTGACTGATTGTCGGGAAGGAGAAAATCTAAGGGTAGTCTAGGCTTGAAAGTCAATAGCAAACTGTTCGGGCTCACCCCGATGGCGCTGTGTACCGCGTTGTTGTACAGACTGGCGATGAGAGCAAGCTTCTCATCCCAGTCCACCTGGTTGGGCTTTATGTAATGCCTCAACAGATGTTGTACAGCGCGGTTCAGTTGCTCGGCCTGGCTGTTGGCCTCGGGGTGATTCCCAGAAGTCATTTGCAACTGGGTTCCCTGCTCTGCGGCAACCGCCTTCCACAATTCGCTGGTAAATCGGACATCCCTGTCACTAATAATAGACTTCGGTAACCCAAAGTCCCTAACCCAGTTCTCTTTGAACATTTTGATCACATACTCCGTCCTTGCTGTTTTTGGCATTGCTACTAACCTAGCATACTTACTAAATCTATCCACGATGACGAAGATGTGTTGCATCCCACTCTTGCTGGTGACCAGAGTATCCATGAAATCCATGGACAGACTCTCACCCGGTCGTTCCGGAATCGGAAGGGGCTTCAGTAGCCCAAGAGGAGCCTGAGTACGGGGCTTGTCCCTCTGACAGACCTAACAAGTCTCCACGTACAGCTGGGCATCTCGCATCATCGTGGGCCACCAGAACCGCTGCAGCAGATTGGCTGCGGTCTTCTTATACCCAAAATGGCCAGTGGCGTCATGGCACTCTCCTAAAAACAAACTACGCAAGGATTCACTATTCGGGACACACAAACGCTTATTCCCTGCCTTCTCAAGGAGCAGCAAGCCGTTAACCAACTCAAACTCGGCTGAAGTCTTTTTGTCCTTCGCCTCTAGTCTGCGTATGATTTCTGACATAAACTGATCCTTGCGATAGGCTTCCACCATGGACTGAGTAACATTGTCCGCAAGCCCAAACTCAGTGATCAGCGCACCAGAGAAGTGTGGTCTACGCGACAGGGCATCAACAACCTTGTTGTACTCGCCCTTGATGTACTGGGGCTCGAAGTCATACTGCTCAATGACTTTGATCCAACGCTTGAGAGTACCAGCTGAGTTCTCAGCCATCTCAAGGTCTGATGATCACTCCTAAGGATGAAGAACCTCCCAAGGAGGTAGTGCCTCCAATGGGTCAGAGCCTTGTAAACAGCATAGAGTTCCTTCTCATAGGTGGACTTAGCCAACTTCTGAGAGGGCATCTTTTTGGACATGTACTCAACTGGCCTTAACTTTTTCCCCTCCTGTTGTGCAAGTACGGCGCCTATGCCATATTGGCTAGCATCCGTAGTCACTATAAATGGCTTGTCATGATCAGGAAGTTTCAAGACTTCATAATGCGTCAACGCATGCTTCAGATGTCTGAAAGCAGCCTCGCATCTCTCAGTCCACTCCCATGGGGTGTCAAGGCGGGTCAGATCAGTCAAAGGGGCGACAACTATGCTATAGTTATCCACAAAGTTGCGATAGTAGCCGGTCATCCCTAAGAATGATCTCATCTCAGTTGCAGACTGAGGACGCGGCCAGTCACGAATGCTGGCCACCTTCGCGTCATCGGGCTTCAACCCTTCCGCGGAAATCTCATGACCCAAGTACAAGACACGGGTGCGGCCAAACTTGCACTTCTCACCGTTGATCTTGAACTTGTGCTATCGCAGGAGACTAAGGACTTTGTCCAAGTGTGCAACATACTCCTCGACAGTCTTACTAAAAATAAGTATGTCATCAAGGTACACGAGGACAAACTTATCCAAGTAGTCATGGAAAATCCGATTCATAGCATGCTGAAAGGTGCCAGGAGCATTGCAAAGGCCGAAAGGCATCACCACAAACTCGTACAAACCGTACCTGGTCTGAAATGCGGTTTTGTGTTGATCCTCGGGCCAGATTGCAATCTGATGCTACCCGGACTTCAGATCTATCTTACTGAAGTACCAACACCCTTGCACTCTATCAAGCAAATCATCGATGCGCCGTAGGGGCTCTTTGTTCTTGACAATGATGGCATTGAGGACCGTATAGTCAATGCACATCCTTAGGTACAAATAGTACTGGAGATCCATAAGGAGAGACACTCGGCTGGATCAAACTCTTCTGTACGAGTTCCTTGAGCTGTCAGCGAAGCTCATCGAGCTCGCCTGGAGACATCCGATAGATCCTACCCTTCGGGATGCTAGACCCTGGGATAATCTCTATCGCGTGGACGACCTCCCTCTCTACAACCCCTGTCGGCTCTTCAAATAGATCAGGGTACTTGGCAACTACTCCCTCTATCTTCGGCGACATTTTCACCGGCTAGCCTGCAGTAGAGACGTAAACTAGATACATACCCTCCTCCTGATTTTGCTTATAGTAATTGTAGAACGCAGCCACACACATGCACCCATGAAACTCGATCAGACTACTAGCTTTAAACTTACGTAATCTGGCGGTCCCTCCACCTAGCAAAGTGTGTTTGACCACTTTTTGGTCCCAGTCAAACCGGGGCTGTGCCACAGAGAGGTAGCACATACCTAACAACATGTCCATGGGGAGTTCGTCACTCACTAGGAACGAGACGCGATGTCTCAATTCCCCTCCCGTGTACGGGAAACAACACTCAACATCTTAGAGGTAGTCATTGACTACCATGCGCTGTTTGTTGGCACAGGTCGACTCCACAGGTCGACTCAGGCGCTGCACTTGCCCCTGTAAGTGCAGCCTCTCAACGCACGCGCGACTGATAAAGTTACTTGTCGAGCAAGTGTCATAATAGGCCCCGACCTTGCGGCCGCCGATGACTACCTCGCATCTCACCCTTCGAGGCTTTGACTAATGTCGTCCAAGAAGCTAGCGGGTCTGATCTAGACCACTCCTCCTCTAGCTCCTCTAAGGACTCGAACACATTCATCGAACAGAGGCTCGATGGGTCTGAATGTGTTTGCAGGACGACGCCGGAGTCAGTAACTTAGGCCATCTCTCGAGATGGTGAGGGTGTCTCCACCACCTCGACCCTAGTAGGAACAACTACTATTCCTACTAGCCCGACGTGTTTCCCGGAGCAGTGCCTGAAGTGCTGGCAACATTGCTACCAACGGGATGGGAGGATCCTACCGCCTGCCCCATCGTAGGCGGGATCTTGTCGGTCACCTTCTTGTTACGGCACTTGAACTCATTATGGCCATATTGACCATAACGAATACACGCTTGCCGTGAGTACCGATCTCTCCACATGTCCTCGGTAAGACCCGCCTTCTCCCATGGGGGAGCGTTGGGGTCAACTTGACTCCTTGACCGGGAGCCTCCGCGGCGTCTACCGGTCGCCTTACCTTTCTGAGCTACGGCAGCAACAACTCCACCCCCTGAAGCTTCAACGCTGCCCGCCTCTGCACCTACTCCCTCCTAGAAGTTGTCATCTAATTCGATGGTTGAACCATCGTTATCGACAAACATAATGTGTCCCTTCGTCTTCCAGTTGGGAGGCAGTGTTTTCTTCCTACCATCCGTAATGGGTGCCTGCCCAGGTCTAGGGCCTTCTTGCTGAACGAGGGGAAGTTGTGAACATTGATGTTGGCCTCACCTGCCAACTGATTCCTGAGAGGCATTGGAAAGCATCTCGGGTACGAGGTGAGTAAAACCTCGGGGTCATAGCGCACCCTAGGGACACAGATCAGACGCTCTACAGCATCGGTGGCCTCCCTGATTGACTTAAACTGTCGTGTGTGCAGTGTCAAGATCGCGTCAGTGGCCTTTTGAGCCTCCTGAGGATCATGCCACCTTTCCTCCACCATCTTGAGAAAGTCCTCCAGTTTCTGGTGGGCTGCCCAAAAGCGGAAGTCATGACCATATCCCTGAAGTTGCACCAAACCGCTCAACCATCGTGCTGCACTACCCTCTAGATAGGATGCAGCCACTAACACTTCCTCATGCGGCAAGGTAAGCTTACATTTGACATAGACCGGCACTGCGCTCAACCACGTGTCGAGGTCTTCGCCCCTCTTATCCCCTGTAAAAGGTTTGGGAGCGGCGATGGCCGTCTTTGGAACCCACTGTGTTTGTCCCGGTCCCTGCATCACTCCGGGCTGTGGACCCTGTGACATAGGTTGTTGTGCTAGCTGCTGGGCTGTGTACCCTGCGGCTGTACAGACTGTGAGACAGCGGGCTGCGTGGTAACCGCAACCTGCAACGGACATTGGGTGAACACTGTCTGTACCGGAACCTGCAAACTAGATCCTGCTGTAATCCCTCCTGCTAGCGGCATGCCCAGGGAAACGATCGCAACCGATGATGGGGCTACATATGGGGATACCCCAATCACCGGTGGGACAAAAGGAGGAGGCTGTACAACGGGCCAGGCACCAGGCCCGGACATTGGCGACGTTGCCCGCGCTTGCCCAACCAACAGGGCCAGACTTTGCTGGATGTCCTGAAAGATGGTTGTCTGATGGTCCTGCATCTCAACTACATTCAGCAAGACCGACCGTACAATCCTCACCTCATCAGTCACGTGCGTCAGGTCTATCTCCTCTAACTCACTAACGTCCGCTTGTATCCGTTGCATCCTGGCTCTTCTTCTAATCATTCTTTCTTTCTCCGCTTTTATATCTCCTAACGCCTTTTGTAGCTGTGCCTCCTGCAATGCGGCTTGTTGTATGGCGATCTCATCGGAAGTCAACACTAGTGGCTGGCTTGACATGACGCCAGTGGACTGACTCTGGGTCTGCGCGACCGTTGACCCTACAGATCCTGAACTACCGGCCTGAGTAGTCTGTTGCGCAGAAGTGGCCATGGCTTCCGAAGCTGCGGATTCACTCACAAGTGCCCTGCTAGCCTCTACTGCTCTAGCCCTCCTCTGCTGCTGCAACCTGTCTCTACGCTGGCGGAACAGATATTTGTCACCCTCTGGACCTAATGCCAAATGGGCTACTGCGCGCCTTGCCGATCGCAAGATCCGGTCGTCCTCTCTAGTGTCCTCCTCGTCGCTCATAAGCTACAACACTGTACACAATCTGCACTAATACACACTGGATGCTTACCACAGCGTAGTGCACAGACCAACTAATTAATTGGTGGCTATTTAAGAGACTTTACATTCGGGCCCAACAGGTAAGTCAGATTCCAACAAACGAAACTATTTTTAGTTTGACTAGTCCGCAAACAGAAGCACCATGAACAAGAAACAGTTCTAACTAATGTTGTCTGTCAGATGTCAATGGCTGTACACCTAACTAATCAAAACATAAAAATGGAATCATTTGTGTGGATAGGTGTCCCTGAGCAATCCGGAGAGCGTTGCGTGTCTAAAAGGTGTGTGTTCGGCCCACCCCCGTGCCCCGAGTAATCTGCTGAGCTCTCCGGAGAGCGTTGCGTGTCTAAAAGGTGTGTGTTCGGCCCACCCCCGTGCCCCGAGTAATCTGCAGAGCTGGCCAGCCCTGCACTGGATTATCCTCGCATGCAGTGAGCCTTACAACCATTGGCTGATCCAGAGGCAATTTAACGTCCGCCCCCAAGTGCCTCCAGGAATTATTTTACGTCGCAGCCTGACGACGATCACAGCCAATGGTTCCCCTTCCGATGCTTATTTAAAGACGCCCSGTCTCGTCTCCCTCTTAGGGCTGGCCTGCCCTTCAGCACCCATCTAACAGCGCAGCAAGCCAAACAAAGGACAAGCAGCAAAGCATGCATGCTCTACTCCCGGTGGGTTGGCATGGTGACCGTGACCCAGTGCTTCGTCCAGGGCCCTTCAGAACGCTCCGCCCGTCTTCTCCCAGATGCTCCACGTGAACATTGCCGACTCTCAAGGTTGAGCGCACTCGACACCTCACAATGAGAGGACTCTCAACAAGGAACACACAACCTCATCATAAGAAGTGTCGAAGAGGGGTAGATAAGGTTAAGAGCAACGTACCTCAAATAGCTGCCCCCAACCACATAGATAATCTCACCAGATGACCTGATGTCGATTGTGATGACCAGTCATTGCTTCGGCACAACCAGCATTGCACGCCGTTCCATCTCAGCACCAATCGCACATTAGATAGTTCTCATCACACTGTCCAACACCCACATTACACCACGTAGCCTTCTTGGCGATCCCCTCACCTCTTGGGTCGCCTATCACTCGTCTCCGCCCTCCTCACTACACACCACTTACGGCCAAACTCGCCAAGCAGACGGCATGTATGTACCGCATTAGGCAGAAGACAAGCGCCAGATGAGCGCAATCGTACCACAACTCTGATACCAAATTGCAAGGAAGATGAGCAATAGCGAACTTCAGCAATCAAACACCATCATACATATGAGCCCTGATAATCGTGACCTCGAACCAACAGCAGAATTGCATCACGAGATTCACCAAATAAGAACACACCAAGAGTTCATAATTGACAATGCTCAAATAGTCCCATCATCATCAACAAAGAACCAGAGTTGATATCCTATCTGGCGCTCGGCGCCCAGACTACTTGTGGCAAATCCTATCTAGCCTATACTACAATGCCGAAGTTGACGACAACAGCTCTCCCGAAGTATGAGCAGACAGCGACCAATGTCGCACGCTTCCAGCACCAGGTATGTCTCTCGCCTTACTCACAACCTTGTTCCCCAACACACAGATGCCACTTGCACCCAAGGACCACCCTGCGCCACACCCAGCTTACAGCACCGCAGCTCGGCTATGGCTGTCTGCTCCTTCCCTGCTCGCCCGTGAGCGTGTAGGCGCTAGCCAGCAAATAGCGCAGCACGCAGCCAGCACTCGAATGGCGAATGTGGAGGCAGGCCCTTTGCTATATCGAAGTGGCCTGCCTGCGTCCAGTCCCAGGAAGCTTCCAGTAGGCCCCGGTAGCCTGAG